ACATTAAAATAGATGAAGGGTAATTTTCACACAAGTATACATTAAAATAGATGCAAGGCCTATAAGTAAGTCAGTGGCAATAAAAAAGAAATCATTTATGAAGAAAAAGGTTTAAAAATCTTATATTGATTTGTTTGAGAAACATAACAGTATTAATATTATGAAGTCTAGCGCCACTTAAAAATAATTAGAAATCTTAATTGGAAATAAGATATAAAAAACATATTTTGTATTGCTACTGTTACATTATTTATAATTCTATGATGAAGTGATACAACTAAGGGGGGGGGGGAAGAGGGAGGAGATCTTACTGCATGGGGGGACAGGGAGAACCTAGACAGTATCTACACAGGAACAACATACTGAACACACTAAGAGCATTGACTATTAGTAAATGATTAGGGCTAACACATTGCTTTTTCTAGTCACTGCAAAACATTTGATTACATTCATATTTATGGCAAACATTGTCATACACTTGTCATTTAAATCCTCTATTATTATCTGACAGTTATTAAAAATTATCTAAATTGTTAAATTCCAAGACACCTTCTAAAAATCTGTGTATAATTCTAAATTTATCTGTTAAAATTTAGCAATTATATATAATTCTAAAACAAAAAAGTATTTGCAAATATTCACCAAAAAACCCCAAATCTTTGCTACATGCAAACTGACATGATAAAATGAAAAATAACAATCTCCTCATTTAAACTTTAGTTATGACTCATTAATATTAATTATCTCATTTACATATTACCAAATTCAGCACCTAAGACCATATATCTATTTCAAGGTTTCAAATGATTCTATTCACTTCACAAAATTATTTTAACATTAGCAAACTTCTTGTGATACTATGTACATCCAGTTTGTGTAAATATAATGCCTAATTTTTTTTTTGAGGCCTACTTCAATACTACCACGCTCTTAGTCCATGTAAATAAACAATGACAAACATGCTCCAAGCAGTTGCTGTGCTAGTGGGGTTAAAGGTTATTTTGTCCCATTGGACAATCACTGACCCATGTCGTCGGACACCATTTAAGGTCCAAAATATTTAAAATATTAATTAAATTATAGAATATCTTCTTGATCCTCATTAGGAACCTTACTACGGGATACTGACAAAAGAGTAGTAGTCCTTTATAGTAGCCCGCTCTGAGCTGTCGGAAATTTTTTACCTCTCTTGGTAAATTTCAAGAGACACCACTATCTTCAAAAGGACTTTAAAAATATGAACTAAAGTTTAAAGACAGTCTCTATAGGCAGCACCAAAAAAATGACAGGAAGAATTTTATTTCCCACGATGAATAATATTTCTTTTTAGGCTAATGTTGTTGTTAGAATTTGGTCATTGTAAAATATTATTCATGATGGTAGAAAACATAAAACCAAAATGTTTAAAAATGTTAAAACAAGTCAATGGTTCTATTGATAAAATCAGAAGTTAATCTATATTTAACTTCTGAAAGAAACTAATTTGTAATTAAAATATTTATTAGTGAGATGAAACCTGAAGTGCCCTACTACCAATTTCATCGTTCTATCTCATTGATATTCAAAACTAAATAAAATTTCAGCTTTACAATGCTTTAAATAAGTTTTTGCATTAAATTTTAGAAAAAATGCAAAGGTTTTCGATAAGAAATATGAATTTAATACAACCTACTATACATTACTAAAGGTGATTTAAAACAATTGGAATGATAGAAATATTAATGAATGAATTAATTAATTACAGTAATTACTAATTGAAAGGCATCTATTGCACACAAACACAGTCTAAATTGATATCAAAGGTTATAACAGTGTAAAAATAGCCAACATACATTCCTTAGGGTAAGATATTTCTTATCAATTAACTTAATCTTTAATAATTAATAATCGTTATAAAAACAGTAAATAACACACAATAATTTCACCTAAAGAATCCTTTAAAGACTAATTAAAATCAAATAATTTTGGCTTGATGGGTTATACATTTTGGTGGATATCTTTATACATTCTAAAAAAACGTTGGGTAAATTATGTGACAAAATTCATATTATTAATAAGACTAAAAACGTGCTGATTATTATTAATCGAAATCACTTTTTTAAGTAATTTGAATACTGATACCAGCTTTCCATATATTTGGATTTTTCCTGATGTTTGACTAATTGCCACAAATGTTACATCTTAATCGTTTATGGTAAAAAAAAAAAAGAAACAAAAATGAATTAATTAAAATGACTATTTAATCGAGGATTACTAATTAATCCAAGTACTTCATAGAAACCAATGTTTGAATAACATATTTTTTATTTTAAAACATTTCAGAATCTCACCTAAATTGTTGTATATTTGAAACGAATACAAGAAAACTGAGGTAATACAGATTTGTAGTAAGATATTCTAACATTATTTTGTCTTAATCGAACACTTGACTACCCAATTTCAATAATCATATCTAATTAACAATTTCATAATCTTGTATTCTTGTTATGAAGTATGTTACTAACATATTGCACTAATGGTTCCATACATATATATACGTATATATGTACATTATATAATATAATATGTATATAAGTGTGGTGTCAATTATATATCTCTTGTCCTCCTTACACCATTGATTCTGGTTTGTTTGCTAGTTTTGTTTCCTCCACTAGTATACGTTCCTTTTGAATCATCTGTTGACAGAGAACACATCATTTGTGAAAAAACACCCCAAAAACCAAGTATATGATTAAAATGTAAAAATGGTCTTTGGAAATAAGTCCTCGAAAGTTATGAATTTATCCTAAATTTGTTCCTGTGAATGTTTAATAGGTTTTTATTGTATACTGAAGCACCTGACACAGTGGGTAAGCTTTGGCATTGTGGGTTCGAATCTGATGTTGGTTATTATTTTATGTGGGTCCCTAGGAAAGGCACGTTATATGCATTGCTCCCTCCATGCTGGAGTTTAATTAGTCTGTGCAGATAATTGCAAAACAATGAAATATTTTCCCCTAGTCAGAGGGTGGAGAAAGTTTCACAGTGTTAATGGTTACTTATGAATTAAATTAATGAAATACATTGAGACTGAGAGCATTGGCCAGTGGCCTGAGCCCAGGACAATAATAATGCACAAGGTTGTGTATTTGGGAAATCTTTGCTCTTAGACCACACTGAGGCCTATGCTGGCCTCTAGACCAGCACTAAGTACTGTGTACTATAATGTTCACACTTGAAAATAAAAACAGAGATACCTAATAGCATATCTTGTCAAAAATATTTAAATTCCCTGATACTAATCAGCGCCTAATTTGTAACTACATGTTACTCACTTCTTCTGTTTCTTTCACCAGTTTTTCCACTTGGTTTTGATGCTCTTTCTTCATTTCTTTTATTTGTCTGTCATGATTGGATTTCATCTGAAAAAATGTGCAACACGTAATCATTACACAGTTTCACCAATGAGATACATGCAACATTTGATCAATGGGATACATGCAGCATTTGACCAATGGGATACATGCAACATTCGACCAATGGGATACATGAAACACTTGACCAATGGGATACATGCAACATTTGACCAATGAGATTCATGCAACATTTGATCAATGGGATACATGCAACATTTGACCAATGGGATACATGCAATATTTGACCAATGGGATACATGCAACATTTGATCAATGGGAAACATGCAACATTTGATCAATGAGATACATGCAACATTTGATCAATGGGATACATGCAACATTTGACCAATGAGATACATGCAACATTTGATGAATGGGATACATGCAATATTTGACTAATGAGATCCATGTAACATTTGACCAATAAGATACATGCAGTATTTGACCAATGAGATACATGTAACATTTGACCAATGAGATACATGTAACATTCAACCAATGAGATACATGCAGTATTTGACCAATGAGATACATGCAGTATTTGACCAATGCGATACATGCAATATTTGACCAATGAGATACATGCAACATTTGAACAATGAGATATATGCAGTATTTGACTAATGAGATACATGCAGTATTTGACCAATGAGATACATGCAATATTTGATCAATGACATAAATGCAATATTCAACCAATGAGATAAATGCAATATTCGACCAATGAGATACATGCAATATTTGACCAACAGGATAAATGCAGCATTTGTCCAATGACTTTAGAATCATTACCAGTTCCATGCATGCATTACATGGGTCACTATTAGACCAAACAATGACAATTCCCTGCTTACCCTTTCTCTTTCTGAAGAGAATTTCTTAGCATAGGTTGCTTGTTGTTCCCTGATTCTTCGTTCTCTTTCAGCTTTATTCTTTATCCTCTTATCCATTGCATGCTGTTTCCTTGCATCCATTGACTCCTTTACTTGTTGGGCTTTCACATCATTCATTGCCCTACAAGAGCAACAAGCAATTTATTTAATTTGGTTAAGTGTACCATTACATAAACCAATCATCAATTCAATAAACTTGTTTGGCTCCATAAGTAAAAGATGACAAGATAAAAGGAAAAGAATGAAAGGAGTAAACAGGTAAGAAGAAAATGAAAAGAAAGGAAAAGAAACAAAAGAAAGGTAAGTAGTAAAAATAAAATGAGAAAAGGGAAAGGAATGCAGAAAAAATGAAATGACAGAAATTGAAGAATAAAGAGAAAATTGCTAAAAGGTGAAAAAAAAACTCAGGCTAACTGGACGACCACATATTTTCAGTGGGTAAATTTACTATATAATCCCAAAGAAATACAAGTATACATATTTGTCATTCTCAAATATATCAACTGACAAGTTCTGTAAGTGGCCCAGGCTACATTTTTGTTAATCTTAAATATAATTCTGACATGACTTGAACTTAGTGACCTTAATGATTATCTACCCTGATCTGATCCAAGTTACACATGTTACATTTTCTTCCACCCTGACATGATTTTACTCTGACTTAACCCCAGTTAGTGATAGATATTGCATTTTTTCAAGCCTAACACGACCTCTGACTTGAACCCAGTTAATGATACATATTACAATTTCACCAATTCTAATCACCTTTCATGCTGCTGTCTGATGTCCTTATCCTGTTGTTGCTGGGCAACTGATAACAGTTGTTTCAAGATGTCGCAGTTTTGATGAATGTGTGTTTCTCTGCATGTGCTTTCCTCAACGGTTTGTCTTGAAGTTAGCGAGTTCCATTCCTTAGTCTGGTCTGCTACAACCTCTTGAACCTGGTCATGGGGAAAAAAATCAGGCAAAACATTGGAAAAGGGAGTAACATACAATAAATCATCTTATTATGGGAAGAATAAATAATCACAGCTGTAAATTAATAATCTTTAATTTCATGGCAAACAATCAAATTGATTTGCATAATTTTAAACTAATAAATGTTATAGTTGGTCTTTAAAATACTGAGATTTGTCATTTTTTATATCATTCTGCACATAACTATGTTTAATTTTCATTCATTTTTGTTCCATTCATTTGTTCTACTGCAAGCCCCAACAATGTTTCACTTGTTCAAGGTGGACGGATTGTTCCATTTGTAAGAAAAGTAGACCAAAATAATAATCTGCCTTGTTGAATGGAACAATCCACTCATGAAAATATTCTTCCCATTACGCTCGTAAACATTCATTTTTTGTACACTGTACTTACTTTTGCTTTGTGGTTGTTGACTAGAGACTGCACCTTGTTTTCAGTTTCAATTTTCAGATCGGCACATTTATGTTCTCTAAAAGATCAACATTTTAAACCATATATTATATTTATATAAACATAAATTTTGTCCTTTTTTCTGAGCATTTACAAACAATTTCAATTTGTTAATCAACAAATTTATGTCATTAAAGCTTTTAAATTCTAGTTTTACTTCAAATTTAAACACTTTTTTACACCTTTTTAATCTGTAACAACATTGCTTGTATTTTAAACTATACTTTACGATATTAACAACATTCGACATTGATGACAACATCCAAAATGACATTAAAAACTCAACATGCTCTAGCACACGACCGCTCTAAATGGAGGAAGCCACGAAGCCGAGACATGTAATAAATGTGTCCAACCCTCCTTGATCGGGAACCACAGACATTAAACTGGGCAGTAAGTAAGTAAGTATTCTAATAGCTTTTATATGTTTAGGTTAGGAGTGATCCTTTTTAAGTATAATGTAAATGCTCGAATAAGCGCCGTGGCGCTTATACAATTTTTGGAGGCTTCAGTGCGGTGCTTATTCAAGAGCAGCGCTTATAAAAAAAAAATTGGTACCTATCTCACATATTCTTGTAGTTCGGTAGGCCTATCATAGTTCCTACATCATCGTAAATAAACGTTTGTAAAAAAATGCTTGTCTTCATTGTGTTATTTATTTATTTTAACACCGTATACAATGTATTTAAAACACTGTTTCTCAAAGTGTTTCATTACACACAGGGTAATATATACTATTGATTAAGCTCCGCGGGGCTTATTCAAGCATTTACGGTAACTCCATATTCTATTGTATTACAATTGTGATTTTATATTTTATTGTATTACAATTGTGATTTTATATTTTATTGTATTACAATTGTGATTTTTACTGCTGTTTTTGGATTGTATTATTGTATTGTGAATGCACCGCGTAGTGTGTGTGCCACTGATACGTATGTGTAGATTTCAAATAAAGTTATTACATTAAAATGATCTTGCTTAATATTTAACAATTTCACTTGTAGTCTAAAACTTTGTGTTATAGTCATTTAGTGTGTCATTTCAACCCACATGACTTTGGGAATACTTTTCAATCCTTTGGGAATCAGTAGACAGACTTTTATGTATCCATGAATGATTCCACAAAGCCTAAACTCAGTTGAACCTGTCTCCTCCATGGTTGAACTGTAATATAATCCTGTAATCAGGAAAGTTTTTTTAACGAGATTATCATCACAGATGACATTAATGTTAAACCCTAGATGGAAATGTAATTCACATCCGTCTCATGTGACCAATGTTTGTCTTAATTACATTAAATAAAGGCCACCAATATAAATGTTGACTCCTGGAAACTAATGAGATAATGAGATCCAGGAGTCATCTACCTTTGGATACGAGTGGAGTGATCATCAACTGATCTGTTTTATTTGCACTTCTGTTTTCATAAAGTGAAAGACTTATTTTACAAAAAAAAAATTAACTGCAAAGACCAACTAGTTAAACCCTAATGTTTTAAATTGTTGGGATTTATATTAGGTAATATTTATTTGCAGGTCCCACTTCACCCCTGATCCCATGCCTTAATAAGTTAAAGCACTTTTTTACTGACTTTTAAATTCCTTCGTTTTCATACAATTGGGCGCCTAAGGATAATAACAAAGAGTATAGAACTGCATTAAGTCGTTGGAACGTAATCCTATTTCAAAAAGTACTATCACGAACTAGAGGGCATCCTTCAAAAGGCGAGTTTCAAACTCTATTCCAATTCTAATAGGGCACCCTCTATCTTCTGGTAGTAATTTTTTTAAACATTTTATTGTGTGAATACAAAATCATGGTTGTCAGACCTTCTGCAATTCTATACTCTTTGATTATAACAACAACACCTACTAGTATACATGAGTCTACTGATGACAGATAAAGGCTATGTTTATAGTTTCTGATTACAAACTTACCCTTTCTTTTTAATAGCCTTTTCAAGGTTCTTTTCCTGGGCTTGTTTTTCCTTGTCGTGAGCGGCCACCATTTTATCTACTGTAAGTTGATGCGATTTCAGCATGGATTCTTGTTCCTAAATAAAAAATTTAAAAAAAAAAGATTTATTTCCTAAAATTCACATTTATTTATTTCTCTGACATACAAATGAAATGAATAGATATATCTCTGCTAATACAACTCATCCATTGCAGCATTATATTTGTGAATATTAAGAAATGGGTGCTTAAGCAATAATTAAGGTGAGGTTTTAAGAGCACTGTTGGAAAGTAGTGACTTGAAGAAGCCATTAAAGCCTTCAGGACCACCTGTTCACTTAGAAAATGACAAAGCTGTGCTGCAGCTTAGTAAATACATCTTACCTTTGTATGTTTCTTTTGTAAGCTCCCTAACTCTTTTTGTTGTTTTTTAATTACTTTCAAATATGCTTTATCCTTCTTCAATGACTCAATATCAATTGGAGGTACTAGATAAAGAAATATCAAAAATATATTGGATGAATATATTAACAGAGCTTGAATAAATAATAATATAATGAGATTCAAAAACAGTAGAACCCCCCATACGGGACACCTCTATTAAGGAGACACCCCTATTTTCAGCCACGAAACAAGTGAAAGTATATCTTTTAGCACTACGGCCAACTCCTATTCAAGGTACACCCTTAATAAGGGGACATTTTTTTGGTCCTGAAAGGTGTCCCCTTAATAGGAATTCTACTGTATTACATATAGCAATCAAGTTATGTACAAATGTCATTATATAACAGGCTAATTAATATGTTATACAATTAAAAAATATGGCTGCCATCAGGTAATTACCGCGTATCTTTTCCTTGATGTTACCAGGTACTGATGTTTGTGCACGCAACGGTTTACCAGATATATTCTTAGGTCCAGAGGGCGTGGTTGGTGATTTACCCGTCTTTTTTGATGGAACCTCAGATATATCATTCTAAAGGAAAAATTAAATATATACTGTAAGCATAGAATGAAATTATCAATTTTAATATTATGAATGACAGATAATGACTAATTTATGTAAAATAAAATATAAAAAATATAATATAAAAATCATGAGAATTAATATGCCAACTAGACTGTCTAGTCAATGGCTGATTGATCTATTTTCTAATCTAATTTATTATTAATATGTGAAGCAGTGATGTTAATGAAGCAGTGATGTTAATGAAGCAGTGATGTTAACACTCTGATCGCCAGGGGTTTGAAAAAATAGTATCAGCCACCACCAGACATTTTAGCAAATTTTAACACTTTTCTGAAGCTCGTTGAGGTGTGGTGACCAGATTGACATTTAGTGAATACTACAAGAACTACAAACATTTTAGCTTTACAATGGTCCCAAACACTTTATTCTATCACAATCTGTGACCCGTAACAGTAAAATGAAAATGACTCAATTTTGGAGATATACGCAATTTTCCACAACGAAGCTGAGATAATCACGATTTCGTGAAAGTAAAGCAATAGGACCTACGCTAATATAAACAAACAAATGGTGGAATACCTGTGGTCCAGACCGAATATAGTGTTCAAATTGTTAGTACATGTAGGTAATTACCCCATCTATTGGATTCCGTAAAAAACCTGAAACAGGAGATCTCCGTGTTTGGTGGCCAAGCGTTGTGTTACCAAATACAGAGATCTCCATGTTTGGCGGGCAAAGTGTTAATGAAGCAAGGACATTAATGAAGCACTAATGTTAACAAACCTCTTCAATTCCCATAGATTTCATTTGTTGTGCTCTCTTTTCCTCTAAGGATATAAATTGCATAGGGTCCGAGAGGGCATCTACCAGAGCTGAGAAAACAACAAAAGAAACAATTATTAATCATAACAATCGTCATCATCATCAATAATGCTTTTTGTCTTCTGATATTGCACTTCTCACTATCTCTTTTTCACATGGTTGTGTATGCTGCGATTATAGTACATGGACCCAACATTTATATATAATTAATATAAATTACTTTGACTAGATTTCATCCCTTTGCTGTTATCTCGTCATTCTATGTAACATTCTGGAAGAATCAAATTTATGACTAAAATATAACAATCACAAACAGTTATTCATTACTCAATGCACTACCTTACCTTTATTTTAAACATAATTACCTCAAGATTTACACAAAACCTCAATCTCTTTTCTTATTTCTTTTCAATGAAGATAAATTCATGAATACAGACTATTATTAATAATTTATATCATATATTCATGCTCTAGTTCACCCATGGATCAACATGAAATATATAAAAATATATTAAAAGGTTATAACAAAAAGAAAACGATGGTAAAATATCTTACCTCCAAGCCCATCTGGTACGTATGTTTTCAGTTCAATTTGACAGAATATAGTTGGCAGAGCCAGTGGGAAATTGCCTTCTGTCCGCAGAGAGATGTGACGGTAGCCTAGCAATTACAAAATATTATCAAATTGTAATTATGGTGATAATTAAACTATAATTTTTAATTAATATATGGTGCAGGTTATGATGGCCTCACTGCAATTCAAACAGCAGTCCATCATGACTAGGGGTCGCACAACTTTGATGAAGTACACCAGCTTAAACCAGACTTGGGCTTGGGGAGGCAAGCCTGTAACCTTGTGGAAGCGAGAGGCACAAAGTAGGCACTAATTAATGACCCTGAAGAAGAAGCTTTGATAGGCCTAGCAATTGATTACTATTGCTTGTAAATCTCACGTAGTTAATATTTTGAAGGCTCTTGTGCATTAAAAAAAAAAAATTGAATTGAATAATATCAACCAAGTAGACAAATATAATAGACATTGAATGATTCAATTACGGTATATATAATAGGAAGGTTTATAACTCTATTATTTAAAACCATAAAAAAAAAACTAACCAGCTTGTAGCCCATCAAGGGGCAGTATCCGTTGACCGATCAGCTTTCCGTTTTCTTCATACACTCCAAACCTCAGAACAGCTAAATCTGGCAACACAACCTATAGGATATATACAATAAAGTGAATTTTTGAAATTAGTGAAATTTCCACTTTTTAATAGAAATATAAACAGAAATAATATTCGATCATTCATTCTCTTTCATAAATAATTAAGGGTTCATTCACAATTAACAACATTTTCACAAGTGTATATTACAGTATGCTAGGGGGGAGGGGACAGACAAATTTGCATACTTTTACATATGCATGAAAATGTTGATTCAAAATGACATATCCCTGTCTCTTATACACATCTAGATGTGTATAAGAGACAGCCTTGATATTTTCCATTGTTCACTCAATTGTTAATAGATGCAATAATTCTGGGAGCAATTCTTCATGCCCACCATCTCTCATGCATGAATCAAGTAGTCCTCCAGGCATCAATTAATCATTCAAAATGCCCATAATTCCTTATCAAAAAGTAATGGTAACTAGCATATTACTATTCAAATTACCCATAATTCTTGATAGAATGCTTTGCCAGTATTTTAAGTATTAAATAACCCGCAAATGTACAGAAATTACACTGTTATGCTGTAAAATGCATTTAATAGTTCAAATTACTGACAATTCCATAGCAATATTCCATGCTTCTATTTTGCACAGAAATTATATAGAGAGTATATTTCATTTTTTTTTCTCATGCTTCTTTTACGAAATCGTAATAGAATTTAGTATTAATCATTCAATTGTTAAATTTCTACAGCGCCATTCCAACAGCAGGGATCCCAAGTCTCCTGCGAATCACGGGAATCTCAGGAAATCGGAACTGTCCCCCGCACCGTAACCAAACAATCTCCCACAAATGCATCTTTGAATGACTTTCCCTTATTAATTTCTTCATTGAAGTCAGCTGGCCACGGGTATCCCCACAAACAGTAAGTTAAGAACCAGATAAACCAAGGGCGGATTGCTAAATAACGGTCTTAACTGGTAGTCTTAAATCCTCGAATAAAGCCGGTTTTATCACTTAGACGGTCTTACTACAGTCACTCCGCTACGACCATTGCTATACAATGGTCTTCGCTTAGACTGCGATGAGTATTGAAACGGTAGTTGCTAAATACAACCACTTCAGCAGAGGGGGCGTGGCTTCTTATAGTGACGTCATGCATAATTTCAGCTGTAGTACGTCATCATTCTTATCTATCTCCTCTACAAAGTGTGAACTGTGCCCCCCCCCCCCCCCCCCCCCCCCCTCGACTGAAGTGGTTATATTTAGCAACTACCTATTGAAACAAGCACTCTCTGGTAACATAAAATTGGGAGCGGTGTTTCACATAGGTCACCACGCCATGCTTGCTCGATCCAATGCACATGTATCAAAATGAACGTAAATAAACGATCAAGACCAGATTTTACAGACACTGGGAAGTTTGAGGAATATACATCGTTTGATCCTTGGTCTTTGACAATCTCGGCCTAGGTCTAGTACTTGTAACGCCATGATGAAAATGATTTAAGACCATTTTAAGCCTCCTTCAAGTAGGTTTTAAAAAATAAAGACAGGTAACTGTTAGACCGCAGTATAGCAATGGTCTATAATCATGGACCAGTATTGACGTCACGATTATAGCCGGTTAAGTGTTAAGACCATCTAGAGACCGCCTACAGCCATCCGCCCCTGTGTGACTTCTTCCTACTTGGGACCCCCGCATCAGTGTTTGCACATGGCACAAGTTAATTTTTGGTATTAAATGCAATCAGCGTCATAAATATTATGAAGTTATAGTTATATCAAGGTAGGCTCAGACAAATTACCATAACAACCACACTACCAGCTGAAGCTCCACTGCAAAGCTAACCATCCCTGCGAGAGGACTAGATAAGTGCAACATGAGGGGTGTAGATAGGAAAGAAGGGGAGGGGTTCTAGTAGAATACATAATGAATAAGGCTTATATACATATATGAGGTGACAACACATACATTACGAATAGAAAGACAAACAATAAATTTACTTCTTGCAAATACTAACCTTTCTAAAGATGAATGGCTCTTCGTTGTAGACGGGGTTCAATCCGTTGCTTGGTATGACTCGCGTCCGATGCTCACGGCGAATGGTGTCAGTCGGCAAACCGTACATATCCACCTCAACGTACGTTCCAATTCTTTTGTCAGATAAAAACTGGCCTGATATTACCCTAACATTACACGTGGCTGCGATCACACCGTCGACCGGTGACTCCGAGAAGGGGTCAAAGTTTTTGTCTGGACGGCGCATGAAGTCTGGTTTCAATAAAAAGCTGAAAATATTCATAAAATTAACAAAAATGTACCTGCAATACATATTCATTAGCAATACTTAAAAATCAAAATGTTTATATTACACACATACACATTTTTACCTCTACACTCTCATTTAGTCTGTGACCGGTATTATACTGCTAAGGAATGCAATAAATCTACGGTTGAACATACCCACAAGATCCGTTATATTCAAACTTTCCCATGTTCAGCTGCATGCCAATATCTGGGGTCTGAAAGTTGAGGGCAACCATTTGACAACCAGCATTCCAAAAGATTTGGGGCAAGTAGTTACTAGAGTCCACTCGTCCTCCTCTTGGGTATATCCTGCTCATTTGGCGTTTGTTGTAGCTTGGCTGGAGTTAAGGAACCATGAACTCTCAAATCTTGTTACTATCTTCAAACTCTCTAACTTCTCTGTATTATAAACTTATAATGCAAGGAGGCAAAAGCACTTAAGCCCCAAACTGCAACACCCTAAGTCACCTGACAGTAATGGTTCATCAAAACAAAAAATATTTTTAAAAGTCAATTTATTTTTTTTCCCTGATTTTTAATTATAAATGTTCTAAAACATCTCATGAAAGCTAAAAATGACCCCATTTCCAAAGATTCCAGACAGCTCTCTTTGGAACCATATGTATAACCAAGAACAAACACTGCACCTGATGTTATAGTAAAATTACTGAATAAAGCAAGCAGTATGGCGCCGTTGAAATGGTTTGGTTTCCCAACCTTAAGGTCTGGGTTTCAATCCTTCGCTGTACACTTCGCTTGTCTCCTTGAGCAAGGCACTTTATCTACATTGTTTCAGTCTACCCAGCTGTATCGGTGGGTACAAGCAAATTGCTGGGAGTAACCTGCAGTGGACTAGCATCCCACAGAGGGGGAGTATTACACCCTCATCCGCTTTACGCTACAGAAACTGGGGAACTGGGGATAAGCTCCAGCGCGAGGCCAGTAACATAGAGGATTAACATTTTTTACCGAATGAACCATGAATTCTCTAAGTTTCTTAGACTGTACTAATTTTATATTATTATTCAATATTATTATGCTCTATTGAAATTATTTTGAATATTGAACCACAAATTAATTAAAATTGAACCACATTTTTCCATGCAAAGGATACTTAACAAATTCAATACAGTTATTTTTGATGTAACCAAGGCCAACAGCTTCATTGAAAGATGACATATTGTGATGGATGCTACGTTCTATGGAGAGAAAAAATATACAGTGCTAGAAATTATTATTTAAAATAAACAATCTTAACAACAAAATTACCATCATAATTATCTTATTTTACTAGAGCATCTGCCTGCTTTTGGGATAACAAGTTATATTGCACATTTATTTTGAATTATTTTAATGGCATCATTCCAACAGTCATTGCTCATGGTGCTGCTCAAAAAGATTATTAAAAAAGGTTATTTTGATTTAAGTTTCTAGTTGGGTTAAATATATAGTGTACAGACAATGTATGCTGCTGGAGGAATTTAATTTTTCTAAAATTCTAATAAACTCCACTCTTATATACCATATATATTGTTGCAAAGGTTCTACAAAAAGACATTCATCCTTAGGAAAACTTGGTGAACGTGTGTGGTCATGTATTTCTTGAGTTGGCTCATTTAATAACATGTTCTGATTGGCAAGTTGTTCAGTTTGATTGACAGGTCTTTTTGTCATGGCTTAAGATACAACAAATTTTTTCTTCAGGCCTGCTCATCATGATCATGATCACGATCATCAACAGCAGCTAGCTGAGTCGGCTAATCTGGTGGTAGCCGCTGTGTGTGCGCTGAACCGTGGAGATCTCCAGGTCCTCGGTTCAGGTCATTGCTGTCTCTCCTTGTGTTTCAGCTAGAGGGCTGAAATACAAGTTACAATAGCGCACTGTCTTTCGGATCAGACGTTTAAGCCGTTGGTCCCGTGTGCATTATGGCCCATGTGTACGTTAAAGAACGCAGTACACTCTTCGGAAAAGAGCAGGTGATTGTCTCCCGGTGTACTGCCCAATCACCACCAGAAGGACCCCACTGGAAATAAGTCTTCTTCTAGAATCTCGAGGCTATCCTTGGTGTTTACACCGAATAAATCCAATCAACTATTGACATTTTTTTAACAGTATCACTACGTTCAAAGCTAAAGTTGCTCATTCAGATATGCCTTCTATGCATTTTGATAGGAACTACCAAAGTTCTGTCAATTTGTTACCTTTCATATTCATTGTATGTTTTGCATTTTACTATAAGGTCTATTTTTATAAATTGTATGTTTAAGACATCCTGTAATGGGCGATACCACTGTTGGATGTAATTGAAACAAAATAAAATAAAATAAAAATAAATATGAAAATGGTGCTCTCACTGACCCTGCGCTACCTCAAAGCCTGGAAACTTCACCGGTTGTGCGTAGTTGACCATACGTGATAGATAAGCATTGATGTTTGCTGTCGTTGATGTGTAAGTGTACACAGATACCAAATACTCCATGTCTTCTTGGTTTATCTCTCCCTGTAACAAATTACCATGGCAACAACATGATAAAGAGGGTAAATTGAAGTCCATAATAGGAAATGGTAACAAAAACATGTAATGCAGATACCTGAGGTTGTTAACAAACCTTTTTGTTAGAAATCTTCAGGTCAATGTCTTCAGACTCCTTAAATTCTCCGTTACTAGGTGGCACAGTGCTGCTAGGCGACTCGGAGGCAACACTTTCCCCGTTTTCGATGATGCTACCAATATCAGCTGAAAACACAACACATTTTTAAATTATGGTCATTATTAGAATGACATGCATTAAATATCCAAATGGAGATGTAAATAACTTTTTGAGGTTATATATTTTCTAATTACAAATGCTTCAGTTTTCTCCCAAATATTTAGAATATTAACAAGATTTTTAATACAGATATGTGTTTTCTTTGATTAACTATTAAAATAATTTGATTAAAATTAGAACTGCAAACAATTAATAAACTTAGTGTTAATAAACATGCTATGTGATTTACAAAATGATATTAGAAAATTGATCAATGTGTAGCCAACTGCATTCCACACATTTAATACACAAATCATTGATCAATAATCATAATCAATATATAATCAATATCAATCAATGAATCAATAAATTTGTATAGATAATCTACTGCATTTGACCATCTCAAAAATTACCATGCAGCAATTTTGTTACAGTTTTGGTGCATTTCATTTAAATTCAAGCATATCATTAGCAAAAACATTGCACAGATTCCAGCAGGGTACAATACACAAACATTGTAAAATCCAACCTCACCAATCCAAGCCACATCAAACCACCAATGAAAAAGTTGCTTAAAATACTTTTACAAATTAGTGCAAAATACTAAGCAAAATTAGATGATGTGTGTTCACACATAGCGTGTTTCTTGCACGTCCACAAGTTGTATGTTCATTATGTTCATTATGCATCCACAAATGTCCACAAGTTGTGTATTATCTACATGTTCACAATTTGCATGTTTAAAACACATATACAAATTGCATGTTCACTACACACATCTACAAGTTGTGTGAGTGTTCAACTAAATCACTCAAACACGCATCCAAATTATTCCCTTTGCACACGTTCATTCACATGCATTCGTAAGTTTTGTAATATCACTAAATTGCACGCTTGTTCACATTAATTATTATATGTTCATTCGTATCCACAAGTTGCGTGTTCATTCAATTATACCGTATGCTGCATGCCCGCTCACTTTGCTTTCACCAGTTGTGGGGTCATGATATATTCACTTCATAACCTCAAGTTATTAAATATGGTACTCTAAATGTGTTTTTCAAATTTCAAATACAGCCTAAAAACTAAAGTGCATCAGAATACAGAATCAAACTGTCTAACATATTGCTGTAAAATAAATGAAGCACAGACATTATGGATCAGTTACACTGGAAATCATGATGGTGCGCAAACTGAACTTAATGGCCCTTATTGGTTGCTCTCAGCCCAAATGTACAGGGAAATGTTTAAAAAAATAATAATATAATAAACAAAAAAATTAATAATAATAATAATAATAACTATAATAATAATTAATAGCCAAATGAAGGCTAATAAAGGAAATTTGTAAATCAATCTATAGTCAACTGCCCACTGACATAGGTAAGGTCAACGACCCAAGTGTAATAAGCATGTAATCAAATAAATGTGAAAAGAGAATGAGGATGATAATGTACGTTTTGATGTTTTGCAAATCCCTGGGCAGTAATGGTTCTCTACATGGACTCGTCCACGTAAAGATGATGAAGATATACAGCGTCCTGGGACAGAATATTTTTTAATTTTTGTGTTCTAGGGAGGAAAACGTCAACCATAATCAGTTTATCAGGTTAATGATTTACAGGAGGTACAGTAGGAGGAGGGGGGAAGGGAAGGGAAGGAGGGAGGAGAGTGGACGTTCACATACACATGTGTGTGTGCACACAGGAAAATCTAATAACCAACTTCTGACATCTCTCTCATCATCATACTACTTAATAATACTATTAAATACACTTATATTATAAAGATGCCAGTGGCTAATGTTACACCAGTTTAAACAAATTTGTAATTCAGATTGGATGCTATTGTCTTAATCTAGTCCATACATCAGGGTTGTAGGTGCAGAAAACTAAGGGTGGGTGGTTGATAATATCGGTAAAATATAAATAATAAGAGCGGATTTTAAGGAAGGGCAAGGGGGTTAATAAAAGGTAGGTAGAGGGCCATAAAATTAACCCTGCCCACCATAACTACATCCCTGATACATACATTAACATCCAATCAGAATTGGGAATTCCTTTAAGACTGGTGTAACAATAGTCACTGCCTATAAAAATAGAAAGAAGAAACAATAGGACCAAGGTCCTTCCAATAAAGAACAAAATATGAAAATGCAAAAATATACATATAATTTCTAATTGAATAAATTGTCATAAATAAGAAGTAATAAGAATGCTAAAATTAAATAATTTAAGTTAAATATGTTTTAGTGTTCCTACATAAAAATTGTACTTAAATGTTTTCTACAAATGGAATGAGGTAAGGTAAGATAAGGAAAGATACAATATATGAGGCATGTAAACTGTACCAACTTTTCAACGAAATAAATGTAAACTAAAAAAAAGTATGAAAACAATGTATAAAAAATATAAATCAAGCTATGATTTTCATGCAATGGCCAAATATGATATTTAACTGGTAAATTAATTAATCATATTGTTAAATCTATATAGTGCTTTCCATGTCATTAGCGTCTCATAGTGCTTCACACTATTAAACTGATCATTTTAAATGACCGTACACTGACACCAAAATCACAACCATACTGTAGTGCTACTTGTTCTTGCAACAATACAACATATTATTTCCCACCCTTTTCTTGAAATTCCCTCCATTCCTTGTTGTACTTACAAATCTTCCATCAATTGACCTCATTGCTGCGAAGCAGCCAATTCATATTCTTGACAGTAATTTGATCTCTAAAAGGTCATTGTTTGTCAAAAAACAAGGGCCTAAGACGACTGAAAAGCGGAGTTTTCTTCTTTCGTTCTGCCGGGTAAAATCAATTACTTTAGGCACGTTTGTAGACTAACCAACACGTACCAACGTCCGCATGTCACGCTAGCCTTATCCTACTCTAGGCCTAGACTAGCTAGGATGGTATAGGCCTAGCCTTGAAGGGACGAAGGTCCCAATGAAAAACAACGTCGCTCCTTAATAGCTAACATTGTCTATTTAACATCACAATAATTCATTATTAGACCTATAGTTGTTTTTTGAATTGTACTCCATAAATCTCAGCCGATACCTCGCACAATTCGAGTAACGTCTCGTATCTATTGTCGAGACGGACGTCATGGCTCGCTGGCTCACACTTGCGATGTCTCGCACTTGGGATCAAATAACACGCTGGCTCGCACTTTGGCAACACTTTGGCAGTCAACTCGCCCCTAGAAAACCCGCCCTTGGAAACTTGCCCCATAAAAAAATGTACACTTCCTAGACCATGCAGTCTTCAAAATAAAAATTGTAACCTTTGGTAACCAACTACATTTTCCACATACATAGAAATTTTTGAAACTTTATTAAAAAAAAAAAGTATAATTCATCACTATAGACACTTTTGACAAAAATGAAAAATTACGACTTTGTTACCCAATGAGAAGTGTTCTAATATAAACAATGGGTCGAGTCACATATTATTTGTTATATTTTTATTATTCATTATTTTCACTTGACTCGTATAAATAATTTTGTTCGAAGAACATTTATATGCAGTTATACTTCGCAGCACTTCACTTGCAATTTGCAATTTCTAGTCTAACCTCTTTCATCTATACCCAGCATATAAAATTGACTTCATCTCAATTGGCACAGTTACATTAAAATATTCTCTTTATCATTTGACACGCGGTTGTAGCTTTACTCATCCCTCAAGAAGGCCTCAAATTGTCCTTTCACCGTTCTTCCACTAGAACATATCATTGACCCAGAATATCATGTTGTCCTTTTATTGAAGCCTGGTTTTCCTAAAATTGCTACACACTTTCCTTGTCACTATCACGTCAGTGCAGCAATTGCAGACAAACCACCGTCGACAGTGTAGCAATTTTTTGGAATCCAGGCTTAACATTTACCTCAACCTGCTAGTAAAGCAGATAATCCAATTAACTCCCAAATATATTTTTTCCTGGGTATCAACAATAGATACAATTGGCAACCTCTATTCTGTACAGTGATGGCACTTGGATTTGTCAGAGGAAGGGCAGATCTCCTTTTCAAGACTGCAAGTGGACAGGGCCAGGGGCTGTGCAGAACCCTTTGGAGAGGGTGCAAAGCCCTTGAAACTTTTTATGATTTAGGGATCTTAAACGCTATTGAATAGAGTTTAGAGCTTTCTAACATATGTAATTAGAAATACATAGGAATTTTATACCTCCCTGATGTTGAAAGGGAAAAAAACTCTCTCCCTCAAGGACCTTACTAACCACATAGCTACAAGCAGGTACAAATCACCCGACTCTTTCAATTGCCAATTGTGTCTATTTTAACTGCATGATACCACACTATAACCAATATGCTAAGTTCAGTAAACCCTGTTTAATCCCTCCCATCTCAACCGCAGTTCATAAAATCCTCATAATACAAAAGAAAAAAACTAACGTAATGAAAATGACGACATCAATACAATGATACACAAATGAAATGATGATTCTAGCTGACACACTGCTGCATGATAAATGTGATGAAAATGATGACTATGCGAACTAATAATAATGATCAAATGACAGTAAATAAGCAAATGCTAATTGTTAGCACTTAAGTACATGGTGTTAAAATGATAAATACATTCAAATTCAAAATGAAAAATTATAGCAAATCTACTGCATTGAGTTGCACTTGACATCGTTTGATAAATATCATCAAAAGAATTCAAGTTACACGTATAGATGCAACACATGGAGTCGACAAAATGGCTCTGCAATCCAATTGGCTTATCATCACCATGGCAACTACCAGTTCTGATATTCAGCTTGTCGCAAAATTAACTCAATTCTGTGAACCCGTGGTAATGATGCAAACAATACTTATCTTCTTGAAAAATCAGTACAAATATTGTTTTTCTAGTGTTTTATATTCCATGTTTGGTTTAGTCTTTATTCCCAATATAAGTTTCCATACCATATTTCACACCAGTTTAGCTTATTAAAAAAAAATAATATTTTAATTATTTATAAACATGGAGGAAGAAGCTTATATAAACAGACTGACCAAGACCAATGTGCATTTATATGAAAAAAAATGAATAATGAATGGATTTTAGCAGCCAGCGACCATGTTATGTCAAATTAAATCTACAGTGTCTGCTCATGCGTACTAGTATCATGCAAGTATGAGTGTGATAAGGCTAGGAAAGTAGTACCATTTGTCTTCTTCGCCTCACGCTGTGACGACTGAACAATTGGAGGCTGCTCATCTTCAGAGGAACTATCTATGGAAGTTGGGGGTACGGGATGTGATATCAATGAATAGATAACATTCAACCTTCACTATTAGGTGTATACACATACAGTACACTTTAATTGTGATGGGGAAAATAAGTGTAGGGGGTGGTAATATGGGGGCACATACTGTAGAAGTATTTACCCCATCAGAAATATATTAAATATACCATTCCCACTAAATATGTATGAAACTAGAATGTGATCCAAGTAATCTTAAGTGATTAATAATAATATTAGTTCTGACAATGCAGTACACAGTCTACAGGCATGCAATATACAATTATCAGTTTATATCTGAAATTATTAATTTATAATCTTGAGACATGGATGACATAACTAAAATAAACTGTCCTTGATTGTAAAGGTTAAAGGTTAACTTTGATTACAGATTTTTCTAACTACTCATTCTGTTAATGGTGTGTATGTGAAATGCTGCATATACAGAGTGATGCTGACTCAACTCCAAGGTGTGTGTGTGTGGAGGGGGTTGGTGTCCCAGATGTTCTACATTATTCTACTTTTTCTAGTACAGTAAAAAAAAAATTATATTTTTTATCAGCTGGCATCGTATGAAATCCAGTCTTCTTACATCACTGAGTCTGCTGGAAAGTACTGTCAGTGCTACCTTATAAAAGTGCATTTGGTGCTTATATTAATCATAAAAATAATTGCTTCTATTATATATGCTCTTTAAATACACAAATCTGACAAAGAATCAATGTTTTGAAGTGGGCGCAATCACGTGCTGGAACAATCGGGCGGTTCTATTTTTGTCAAAGGGGTGTTCTTAAAGGACTAGTGGCAATTAGCTGATTTATGCAGGCAGGTATTCACGAAATAGACACCATAGTAAAAAATACATTAGACTAGATTCTTAACCCAGAGACTGATGGAGAAAATTTGGGATAAAAAAAATATCTTTAAAACAATGATTAATGTATACAATGAAATATAGACTATAAATTTCTTAAACCAGAGAAAATCTGGGAAAAAAAAATAAATCTTTAAAAAATATCTTTAAAACAATGATTATTGTATGTTAATGCCTATTGTAAGAATGCTAGTGTATGACCAATGTGGATTGGTTTGTAAACTAAACTGTAAAGTATCTTTATATTATACTTTGTATACATATGTGTTCTTTCCCCTATAATAAAACCATTCCTCCTACCTACTCCCTGTTTTAAATAACACAGGAATAAATATTCTTTGTATTGGTAAATTAAAGCCAATCTTGAAATAAAGTAAAGAATTATGCTATATTTAAAATCCTAGTCTTTTACTTGAGTGTTATTTAGCTAAAAAGTATTAAAAATATGATTTATTAATCATTTAAATCTTTCTACAAGAATGTGTTATATTTGTTATCCAGTGATTGATTTTACATTTGCACATATTTTCAATACATGAAGAAAGCAATCATATTCAAAACTAAGAATGCAATTAATGTTCAGTAGATAATGTGCTATGATTAATGTTCTATTTGACTTATGAACATCACAAACAACATTCCCCAACTGAAAGACAAGTATCTTAATTTATTATCGAAGGTAAAAATTAAAGGCTATCCTAGTTCATGACTATGAATTCATATCACTTTGTCGTATAACAAAAATATATCAAGTAATTATCTCAATCGAGGAACTTCAATTACAATAATGAAGATATTTCACAAAAAAAGTCCTTGTATTCATATATTCTGTATTAAAAGATCTATCACTTGAGCGTTTCAATGTTATTACAATAGTATCTATCATCAAAAATTAGAGTGTGAACATGTGATGGCAGACTGCATTATGGGATTGCTGTTACCTGATTCACCGACGCAGTCCTCATCCGCCTCTTCTATTTTCCCCTTTGACATCCTTTCTAGTTGATCTGAAACGAAAACAATAATGTATTGTTTTTATATATAACATTTCTAAAGGCCTGTTTATACTTCAACGATAACGATAAAAAAGCTAAAAAGCGATTGTTCATATAGAAAACAAAAGAAATAAGAGAGGTTTGTACACTAGGACGATTCGATAACAATTTATCATGTATACAATAACAAAATATTTTAAAAAATCAAATCAGATGATGTCATAATCATGGAAAAACGATAAAATCGTTGCTACTACTACGATTTTAATGTTTTTCCATGATTATGACGTCATCTGATTTGATTTGTTAAAATATGTTATCACATAACCGTTCTAGTAAACAGGCCTTTAGACTGACAACGAACGAGCATTACTCCGAATAAAAAGATGACCCAGTAAAGGTTGAAACGTAGAATTGTGGCCTCCCTCTCTTTATCCGCCCGAGTAACGTTTGTCGTATGATATTTAAACATAATCAACGCATCCAAACTATATCTTGTAATTGATGTGTTTTCCCTACCTTTTTCTACATCTGCACTCAACTTTTTGTTTTTTATCAGGATTTTCTTCTTCAACTTGCTTAATGGAGGGAGTGGACGATTCGGTTCAAGCTAAAAAAAAAAATATAAATTACATGATGCAATGCTTTGAAATAATATTATAAAAGAAAATGAAGAAATGGTGTTAGTCTTGGTGGTGGTTGTGATGATGATGATGGTTCTTGGTGGTGGTTGTGTTGATGATGGTGGTGGTTTGATGATAATGGTGATTCTTGGTGGTGGTTGTGATGATGGTGGTTCTTGGTTGTGGTGATGATGGTGGTTCTTGGTGGTGGTGGTAGTGGTTGTGATGACGATGATGCTGCTTATAACATCATTAACATTATTAATAAGAGGAATTAAAATCTTACTGGATAATCAGCCAATGGCTCCTTGAGAAGATAATCCCCAAGAATCTCTTCACAATAGTAAGCTAGCTTGTACTGCTGTTTTTTACCACAATGATTCTCAAACGACAGAATCACGGGATACTCGGAGGTGATAAATGCGGTGTCTCTTATAGCGTAGATTACATCCTTAATAAACAAAGAAATCAAAATATTTCATACAAATTTTCATTTTTATCCTTTACATTTATATATTCCTTAGGATTTAATCTATGCTCTTATAGCATACATACAGGTACATCGTTTTCAAACAAAGAAATCAAAATATTTCATAAAAATTTTCATTTTTATCTTTTACATTTTTATATTCCATATTTTTTAACTTTACATATGACAAAAAACACCCCTGGGTGAATCAAGTGTATCCATGTAAAAATAAATAAAATTATTATTACATTACAACTTGTAGATAATCTAAAACTTTATGTAGTTTTAAATATATTATTTTTTATTTCTTAAAATGTTGTCTGCTCAAAATGTTCTGACATAGCTCTGGTCATATGACTAAATACCAGCAGTTAACAGACATTTTGTAGCAATTTCAAAAACTGGTATTAGATTTAATTGTTCTAGACTTCCTTCTCAATCACCAGCCAGTCATTCAGCAAGTGTTTCAAGGTATTTTTGTGAGATCTCTCTGAAATGTTCGTTTGCAAATGACCTTAAACGCACATGAACTTTCATTTCAAAGATGATATATTGGATAAGTAATAAATTTGAAGTATGGAAAATAATAGAAATTTAAAATTAAAATGTGAATAACTGTCAGAAAAGAAGAAAATGTGTAGGCACGAGGGAAATAAGTTTTGTCTTGTGGTGAAAGAAGATATGTATATTATGGTAATGTTATATCATATTGCATATGTCACTATTCCTTAATATCATTGTTTCTATAAGCTCTGATCAATCAACACCTACCTTCAAGGATCTATACAAATGTTTTAAATCTTAACTTAAAATGATGGATTTAAATGATGATTGTGGTATGAGGTTATAACTTAAATAAACTAGAATTAACAGAGTTCATAAGAATTATCAAAATTACCACATAGAAATATAATAATGATTTATCTAATATGATAGTTAATATTTTAGTCTCGTGGTTACAGAAACCAGAATGTCATGTCATAATTTAAGTCAAAGTAATTAATATGGATTTATACATGTCAATTTGAAGTCACTGGAAAAGATAAACGCAGAAATGTTTGTTGGATGCAAAGATAAGATTTATTTATATAGAAGACTGTAAGTTTCAAATTTTATATTCTTCAATGTACTAATAGGCTACAGACAATGAGGTGAATTCACACTGATATTGATAATAATGAAATTAGTACATTTGGTACAAAGTAACATGATTATAATTGGTAGAAATTTTTATAGCACAATTTGGAGTATCAATGGCAAACCGAACAAAGACAGAAGCAGTTGAAGTCAAAGAAAAACAACTCTAGTATGGAAAAATATTTACAGAAAAAGCATTTCAAAAAGTTTAATTTTTTTATCCAATTTCTCACTTAAAATGGGAATCAATTTTATTTAAGTTTTTTCATAATCTTTTTTTTTTATTCCAATTTATATTATGTATCAAATATAGTGTCAAATTTGAACCGCAAGGAGACAAATGATAATTATTGTGCTGCAAGAACCTTCTAGAATGACAGAAAGATATTGGATTAATTGTACAATGAACATAGCATGACAGAAGTATTCAGTATTTTGTGTAATGATTGACCGAATGATTCCTATTTTCTCTAATATCATGTATTTTTGTGAGTGTAATTTTATTGCCAACATTACACAATACAAATTATTGGATGAAAAGCAAAAAAAATTGAGGTGTGACCAGGCATTTCAATTAGTAAATAAAATGTATAAAATTATTATAGCATCTTCCAATAATATTATAGTGTCTTTTATAGATGCTGCACCAAGGTTATGAAAGTCTTCCTACTATAACACACAATTTAATGTACTACTATTGACCTGTCTCTTATACACATCTAGATGTGTATAAGAGACAGAAGCCAAGGAGGTTAACTGATGTTGATGGACGCTCTTCTATATTTGTTTCGGAATCCATGATTCTTCATCAGTGACAAGGGCGCAACTCAATACTGCAATTCGGGTGCTGAATAAGTGGACCGCACTTAAATTATCTTATATTTTTCTTTTAAACGTATTTCTTTAACTTTCCAACTACACCTTCTGTGCTTGTTTGCCTACCATATGGAGGCACTGTAAAAATATACAAAAATTAATTGTTATGAGGCATTGGTTCCTCTGTAGCTATATAGTGGTATTTTGATTGAACTGTCTCTTCTACATTGTAATAAAAATGTCTTTATATTGTGAATGACATTAATATGTCATATCGTTAATATAGAAGGTCGTTAATGATACTGAAATGCACAATATGGAGTTTGTGTGTTGATAAATATCAGTGCAATTTTCTGCCTTTTGATTTCTAAGTAAAAATGCATTTCAGACAATTAACACAATATTGCATAATAATGAGGAATGCCATAGAAAACATTATTATCTACAAGATATATTAATTACAGATTTCTTTTAAATTTATGTATTTAATTAATAATACAAGGTTGTTAATTATACTGAAATGCATAGTATATTGGGTTTGTGTGTTGATAAGTATCAGTGCAATTTTCTGCTTCTTGATTCTAAATACAAATGGATGCCAAAAAATTAACACAATACTGCATTTAATAATGAGCAATGCCATAGAAAATATAATTATCTACCAGATATATTAATTATGGATTTCTTTTAAATTTATGAATTTAATGAATAATCAACAACTAAATGGAATATTTACTTTAAATTAAAAATATATTTTGATTACCAAAAACTTGAAAATCAACATAATTACTTAAAGCCAATGTTATTTTCCTACTAAAAAATATAGTTAAAAATTAAATGATAAAATTAATTCATAATTAATAATTAAATATAATACGTTATAATTAATTTAAAACTAATTAATTTAGGATTATTTAATTCAAAATTAAGAATTACTAATTAAATAGTAATCAAAAAAGAATATATACTTTGAATAGGATGTCTGTACACATGGCCTTTCCATGAGTGATAATTGGTTCCTCCTCGTCAGTCTTGCCATCCCAGCAATCCAACTCGATACACCTGTAACCATATCAAATATTAATTTTGTTAAATACATAAAACACACAGGACAAAATGTTACTCAGGAAATATTTAGCATGCATTGCTGGTGGCATGGGGGGGGGGGGTGCACAAGAGACTCCTTCTCAGTCGGCAAAGAAATTATGCTCAAGTAGTTAAAAATCACCTCATATCATATCATTTTTCCCCTCAGTTAATCGTTGAACCATCATACATCACCTACAGCCCCCATCAGACCACCCCACCCCCAAAAATTTCAAGATCCCTATATACCACCACTGACGGTCCCATGTTACATAACATAAATATGTGTAGGCGCATCCACATATCATTAGCTTGTCTGTAAGCCTATTTTGGATTATTGTGTCTGTATGCTCACAGGGCGGAGCTTATCATTCGACGGGCTGTAAACTTTTAGCAATATTTGGATCAATCATGTAGACTCGTGCAGTGACTGCAAATGACTCAGGAATTTAGCATGGGGATAAAGATGATAAAAAAAAAAAAAACGAAAGTGATTATGGTGGAAAAGGTACAAGACATCACCTGCAACCAGCCAATAGGACTTGGCGATACATCTCCACGGCTGATTTGCCTCCAAATTGTCGACCAATCAGGTAAGTGTTATGACTTGAGTTGATAAAGTAATGGCTCAGCGGTTGCTCCATATCTTGGTAAACTTCCAGACGGTCAAGGAATACAGGAGCATTCTCGTCTGACATCAGGTATCGGCACAAACCATCCACGCTCATTCGTTCTAAAAGATCACATGATTTCATCTTTATTAAACTTAATATTTAGCAAAGGTGTTCCAACCCGCATGCATGCAAATTTGTTATAATCATACAAGCGGCGCTCAAAAATTACATAAATGCAATTTAAATATGACAAAGTCTAAGCTGATATATTACTAGTAACTCTTTAATTTTTTTTTATATACACATTCAGGAGTGACATGAAGTGCATTTTTAAAAAAAATTTTAAAAGGTAAAAGGTAAAACAACACCTAAAAATAAAAACACAACATATAACAACATAAATAATGAACATGTATGAATATATATATATATATACATTACAAAAACTCCTTCCACCAAGTAATTCCCTAAACAATTGGAAAATGTCTGACAATAACAGAAGGTTACACACAATTTAATGTACTACTATTGACCACTTTAAGAACCTCCATTTAACTGACACAATGAAACAACATTAAACAGTGCAATAAATGCTTAGAGTATGTCTTGATGGCTCCACACATAGTCTACAATATTGCGGTTGATAATTATCTCATTGAGGCTGCTACATTGCATTTGACTATAACATTTCAGGCATAAAAATAATCGTTAAAGCTAAAGTTATTTACATTAAATTTTGATTAAAATGGATTGATTTTTGGTTCTATTATACATTTTCAACTATATAGCTTTGTTAAATATTTATTATCTGTGAATTGCTAATCAATTTCAAATCATCATCAAAATACATTGCCTATTTTGGCATATTTAAGTTATTATTTTATTTATTTATTTTAATAGGATTTATACAGCACATATATCCAGAAAACTGCTCAAGGCGATCTTTTCCCTGGTCATTGGATACAGAATCAATCATACACAATGTGCCACCTCCTCCGCTCTCTGGGGAATTTTTCTAGTTACGTGTGTAATCAGTACTACTAATTTCATTTCCGAATCATTCACCTCCTACCAGGTACCCATTTATATTCCTGGGTGAAGAGAGGCAAATGCAGATAAAGTGTCTTGCCCATGGACACAAGCAGTGTGACGAGCATCGTTCTCGAACCCCTGACCTTTAAACTGAAAGTCCAACGCCTTACATGTTGCGCCACACGCTTCTAAAAACTTATAAACTTTAAAAAAGAAAAAAAATTCCCAGGAAGGGATAAATAATAAATATATTCTTTGCATAATTGTAAATCAGTTTAAAGATTTTCAGAATAACATCTTTTAATTTATGTTGAAAAAAATGTTTAATGCATTAGAATATTTTGAGGGGCAACTGCCTACCAAATTTTCGTATCTTCAGAGTAAAAGCCTGTAATTATATTCACCTGAGTTTGTAATGTAAGCCCTGTCTCTTATACACATCTCTCTTGAACTCCTCAGTGCATCCTAGTCAACTCTTGGCTTCTAGCTTAAATGCTAGCTTCATTTGTTATTTTTTTTCTGTTGGAAAAATCCTGGCACTACCACAGTTTTACACATAATGCATCAATCTGGCATATTGCTTTAGAAGTTTGTATCCTATAAACTATCCTTCTGGTAAGAACATTAATAACATTGTCTTGGCTGTCTGTCTGTCTATTTTATCTATCTGTCTTTTTGTCAATAAATACTAAGTGCAATTAGTACATGAGGCGTGGGTGGGCCACCATACAGTCAACTTTAATATCACTGCAAAGCTGAAAAGGTCACTTTCTAAGAAGTAGAATGACTCCATGATGCTAATAATTATCCAAGATCTGAATACCTATACAGAACAGTGAGATCTGAATATTCATATATAATATGACATACAGGAAATAATCATATATGAATAGTCAGATTTAAAGTCCCATTCCTGGCAAAATTTCACTAAAAAAGATTTTTTTTTATAGAAAAAATGCATATGCATTACTCTATTTATTATAAACAATGGAAAAATATTGGCATAAATTTCAGTTTTACGCAAAAGAATTAAAAAAAAGAGAAATACAAACTATTTCTCATAGGAGATTACCATTTTCTCGACGAATTCTTCGTTACTAGGCAAATTCAGAGGTTGTAGATCGCATCCGCTAGAATGCTCTCGCTTTTATGTATACTTTATACGTTCTATAAAGTCCGCCCTCTCTGATGAAATTGGTTTTTGTACTTCGCATCTCGCACACTGCGATCGAAGTAGGCCTGAGATATGTTTGTTTAATTGTCAAAATCTCGGTCAGAATCATATTTTTCAACAAATTTAAAATAATTCCTATTAAATATTATATTTCACAAGTGTCAATACTAGCAACGGAAAATATCATGTTGGCCGTTTTTATGTGTGATACACAGAACTTAAATCGAGGTAAGGCTAGGCCTAGACTAGCAGTGTTGTATAGGTTAATGTTTTCGGTGCCTACTATATTTCTTCGCAGACCTATCGCAAAATTAAACATGAAAAATCCATCCGCATTTATTTTTTGTGTGGAACACAAAAAATCAAACTTCAGTTTTATTTTACATTTTTTTCATGTTTAGGAATGTCTAAATTCAGTTAAATTAGCAATTTCATATTACATTTATAAATCTTTATAACATATATAAGAATCAGATTTTTCTTAACAACTGAAATCTTGCCGGGAATGGGGCTTTAAATATTCATGAAAGACATGATGAATATTCATTACACTAGATAGAATATTTGTATATAGTCAGATATGAATATTCATAGTCAAACATGAATATGGTATTCAAATAAGCAGCAAACTGGAAAATTGGTTCCTATCAAAAATACAAGTTATGACAAGCTAATTTATATTATAGCCGATCAGACTAAATAGCTCAGCATGTTTACATTTTCAGGCATAGAAAAAGGATTATATATATTAGGCTCAAATTAATTATGACTCATGAGTTTGAGACTTAAAGATTCACAGTTAATGTACAAGGAAAGATAACTCCAAATTTAATAGTGACTTGTATTATATGACTTAACACATACCTACACATGGATTAGCAGAGTGGTTCTACTGAAACGTTATCTTAACAAATTCTTAAGAATTAATGAGATAAAGAAACAAATATGGATGTGAAGCTATGAGGGAAAAGATTGACACATGGATGATAAACGATAGTAATTCATTTTAACTAGATTACATGCTAGTCTTTCACTCATCCAGGTTGATAGACGGTCAAACTCAACTTGTAATCATTTTTCAAGATTCAAGAAGAAAGAGTTCACTGTTGAATGTAAATAATTGTCAAAATGTGAATAATTATAAATGTTAATGATTACAAATTTCAATAATTAAAAATGCAAATAATTATATTTGTGAATAATTAAACATGAATAAATATAAATAATAATAACTATAAATATGAATAATCATGAATGTGAAATTTTACTATTTATGTGAATATTTAATAAAATTAGTAGTGAAATGGTAGGTAGTAACATAAAAACATTCAAGAAAAATATTTTTTAAAAAGGCATTTTGGAAAGAGAGTAATGTCATAGGCTATGACATAACACACACATACACATATAGGTAAGGTATAATATAATATATTATAATACAATACATATATATGTAATATATAGGTAATCATGTAAATAATCTTCAGTATTTTGTGCAATAGTGCTTTACATAAGAAATTTAAGTTCATTTTGGAAGACACAATTCATCTGTTATATGATTCCATTGTTGTAAATACCGTAGATCTTGCAGACTCCGTCACCCCAAAGCAACTAATAGATACAAGAACTCATTAATACCATCTGCCATTTGCTCATATGACCACAGAACACAATACAATGGATATCTATATTATTCCATATATTTTCTAACTCACCTTTGTTTTTGTATGTAAATTGTATATGTTTGATATCTTAACTAACTATATCCTGTATTTTTTTATGTATTTTTAGCTGCGATGAGGAGCTCTAGAAACACTCGGCTGATTGATTAATAGATGATTGAGTAATAGATCTTTTTTTAGCTCTACTGCCTCTATTATACTGCCCTCATGAGGCTGATTGATTATTAGATTTTTTTAACTCTACTGCCTCTATTATACTGCCCTCATGAGGCTGATTGATTAATAGATCTTTTTTAGCTCTATTATACTGCCCTAACGAGGAGCTCTAGAAACACTATGCTGATTAATAGTTGATTGATTGATAGATATTTTTTAGATCTACTGCTTTTATTATACTGCCCTCATTGGAGCTTCCAAGATTACGAGAACAAACCTCATGATATTTTTATGATAATCGAATATCTGTATCTGTATGTATGTATGTATGATATGTTTGTCTATGTTTAAAGATAATAAGCAATTGTCTAAATGTGATTCAGAGATCATAATATTGCTCCTTGGCTGTTTGCACCAAAAACTGCTTGTAAAGATACAGTCAACTTTTAGTTTTCATTATCCAGTTTCAATGGCAGCCATTTTACTTCACTTTTTCGTTAAATGAGAAGATTATTTTTTATTGAAGATACTGTATGTCTTAATAAACCAATAATAACCATTGCTGAAACATAGCAATTAACTATACTAAATTATTGGTATATCAAGCGATAACTTCAATCAAATATTTTATGAAACCAGAGAAAATTCTTTGAGAATTTAAAAATTATTAGAATGATCTGAGTATAAAGGACCTAAGGTGCACAAACAGTACAAGCGAAAATTTTGCGGAAATGAAATTCTTATCCTGTAAGGTTCACCTGTACATGGATTTTAGATATCAAAAATGTACTTATCAACAAATTGTTTAAATCTATGTTTAAGTATTTAAGCCCTATTCTTTACAATAATTTATTCTAGGATTTGCTTTGTCAGATCTGATAATCCTAGTTTGAAGGGGCTGATTAGGGATAGAACAGATAAATAGCGAATAGACCAGGTAAATGGGAAACATAACAGGTAAATGGGGAACAAACCAGGTAAATGGGGAACGGAACAGGTAAATAGAGAACAGACCAAGTAAATGAGCAACAGACCACGTAAATAGGGAACAGACCAGTAAAATAGGAAACAAACCAAGTAAATAAGAAACAGACCAGGTAAATGGGAACAGAACAGGTAAATAGAGAACAGACCAGGTAAATGGGCAACAGACCACGTAAATAGGCAACAGACCAGGTAAATAGGAAACAAACCAAGTAAATAGGAAACAGACCAGGTAAATGGGAACAGAACAGGTAAATAGAGAACAGACCAAGTAAATGGAAAACAGAAATGTACATATCAACAAATTGTTTAAATCTATGTTTAAGTATTTAAGCCCTATTCTTTACAATAATTTATTCTAGGATTTGCTTTGTCAGATCTGATAATCCTAGTTTGAAGGGGCTGATTAGGGATAGAACAGGTAAATATCGAATAGACCAGGTAAATGGGAAACAGACCAGGTAAATGGGGAACGGAACAGGTAAATGGGGAACAGAACGGTAAATAGAGAACAGACCAAGTAAATGGGGAACAGACAAGTAAATGGGAACAGACCAAGTAAATGGAAAAGAGACCAGGTAAATGGGCAACAGACCACGTAAACAGAACAGGTAGATAGGGAACAAACCAAGTAAATAGGAACCAGACCAAGTAAATGGAAAACAGACCACGTAAACAGGGAACAGGCCAGGTAAATAGGAAACAGACCAGGTAAATGGGGAACAGACCAGGTAAATGGGCAACAGACCATGTAAATAGGAAACAGACCAGGTAAATAGGGAACAAACCAAGTAAATAGAGAACAAACCAAGTAAATAGAGAACAGACCAAGTAAATAGAACAAACCAAGTAAATGGAAAACAGAACAGGTAAACAGAGAACAGACCAAGTAAATGGAAAACAGACCAGGTAAATGAGGAACAGACCTGGTAAATGGGCGAACTAAGTAAGTAAATGGGGAACAGAACAGGTAATGATAAACAGACCACGTAAATGGGAAACAGACCAGGTAAATGGGGAATGGAAAATTGGCAGGAGAAACTGAAAGTAGGGAAAGAAGTTGTAATTGGGAAAAAGAGGATGGCAATAGATGGTAGAAATGAGAAATGCCAGGAGATGAATAGGAAAGAAAGATGAGAAAACATGGACTGTGAGTACATAATTATGGAAAGGGCACAAATGCTACATGTAAACGTAAGAATAGGGAATGGATACTAAAGTCTAGTTTTCCTAACTTTGCCGATTTGTCAATGACGAATCAGAGAGCATTCCAAATACATTGGTGACAGCTATATAGGGTAGCGATTGCTGTAGTGACAGTGTAGTAAGTTTATAGAAACTAGGCTTAATAGGCTAAATTGGAAAAGAAGTTGTTAATAAATATAAGGAAATTCAATAAATAAAAATTTCTTGCAAACCAACATTTGTTTCTGTAGACATTAAGATGTGTATAAGAGACAGGTCAG